GGTAATGTAAAATTCATGTCGTCGGGCCTTATAGAGCTCTTTCATGAATACATAATTCTATTACAGAACATACGCATTAACCACTCGACGAAACGAAGGAAAAAAGCGAGAGAGAGAGAGAGAGAGAGAAGAGAAAAAAAAGAACAAGTTCGAGGGACAGGATATAAACGAGCCTGCGAGTGAAATAATTGCCCGTGATACAAAAGCGAGACAAAGATACGAATTTACTATGGTTGTCGCATAGTGAATTGTAAAACATAAATAGGTCGAACGTATCGGTTTCGCGTTGCACGTGAACAGTTACAGACAGCATAGCGCACGAAGGGGGAAGAAGAAATTGAAAGAAGAACTGCAATTACATCTTTTTCCATTGGCGAACGGTAAAAATTGAGGTTGTGAAAGCGAAATTCTCGGCTGGTTCGTTTATCTGGCGGCGCGGTGTATTTACAGAAAAAGGAGAGAGAGAGAGAAAAGGAAGATAGAAATAAATGTCGCGGAGTAACAAATAATTTTAGCGTCTGCATCATACGCAAAAGTTCATCGTTGAAGAAGCGTGTAGATAAAGAGGGAATCGATTAATCGCTCTCTCCTATCAGTTCTCACGCACTGCCTTGGCTCGTGCGTGCCGCGAGATAAAAGTGTTATGCGGCTTGAAAATAATCCGAGCACGGATCGGCGTGTTATGATTGCACGGAGTAGCAATTTTGGTTTTTTGTTTTGTAGAGAAAAATTTGCAGAAAATTTTCACATTTTTAGTTTTCACGTTGGAATGTGAATTTGTGGATGATGTTGAATTGAAAGTCGTTTAGTTTTGAGGAGGCTTGAGTCGATAAGCGTGTTATGATTGCAGAGAATAGTAACATTTTTTTTAGATAAAAATTTGCAGGAAATTTCAAAATTTTTATTTTTGATATTACTGAAATTTGAATTTGTGGTAATATTGATTTGAAAATCGTTTGATTCTCGAGGAGCTTGAGTCAATCGGCGTGCTAAAATTCCAGAGAACAGCAATACTTTTTAGAGACCAAATTTTGTAGAAAATTAAAAAATTTTTATTTTTGAAATCATTGAAATTTGACTTTGTGAATAATACTGAATTGAAAATCGTTTAATTTTCAAAGAGCTCGAGTCGATAAGCGTATTATGATTGCAGAGAGTAGTCATATTTTTTAGAGACCAAATTTTGTAGAAAATTAAAAAATTTTAATTTTTGAAATCATTGAAATTTGACTTTGTGAATAATACTGAATTGAAAATCGTTTAATTTTCAAAGAGCTCGATTACAGAAAATTTCAAAATTTTAATTTTTGAAATCATTGAAATTTGACTTTGTGAATAATACTGAATTGAAAATCGTTTAATTTTCAAGGAGCCTGAGTCGATCACCGTGTTAAGATTGCAGAGACTAGTAATATCGTTTACAGACAAAAATTTGCAGAAAATGAAAAAATTTGTATTTTCGATATCACTGAAATCTGTTTAATTTTCAAGGAACTTGAATGGTGCAAAACCAATGTATTCTTATTATAGTCTCAATTCTTAGAAAGTAGTATAGCACGGTGTATAAAAATATCCCAGTCAATTTGCATAACAATCAGAGTTCATATCTCGAACTATTAAAAGAAACATAGAAAGTGCACGTTGTAGCAGAAATCCAATCCTGTCGAATGCTGCACACAAAAATTCCTTATATCCTCTCGCAATTTCACCTAACGTTCAACAAGAAACATAATAAAAACCACTCGATTCTAATCTCCATTTTCTTATCGTTTCATTTCACAATCTGATATAAATTTCCCACGGATCATTTAACATATCACTGTACGTACAAATTTTTAACTAACAAATTCAGTAAATTAAACACTACGATTGCATAACCACAAGTACAGTAACTATCGAACAGCCAGT